TTCAAGTTGGACTGAGTCAGTCTCATCCTAGAAAAGAAATGCTGTGTCCAGAAGAACTAAGCAGCTACATCTATTTTTTTTTCCCCCATTCAAAATGTATCAGTGGTTTTTAGACAGTTTTTACTTCGCCAGAAAGCAGTGCTTGAATACTTGAAACTGCGTGCTGTGTTCTATTTTATGTCCTGATTGTCAGAATATTCTTTTGTAGACAACACGCCATGACGTGGTCATGTATCTCCATGTGTTATCATGTTACACTGTGAAGTCTGCCACCCTTTCGTGGTGGTCATCAAAGACTCAGATTGCTTGTTGTTTAGCCAAGGGTCCTAAAGCATGTACCTGAGGTTACATCATTATTTTTTATTCTAAAAAGCTATGCATCTTATATTCTGAAACCTATTAAAAAATATACCACTGTTGATGTAATCTGTGGCCATTCTTAATAGAATACGATAGAGGAGTGTGAAAAGGTGTGTCTGGGGAACGATCTTGTGCTGCAGCAGTCAGCTGTCAGTAGTTTATGCTGTGCTAGCCTGACCCCACAACCTCAGTGGTTTACTCCAGCAGGGGTTGGTTTCTCGTGTTCATTCCATGGTGGATGAACTGTGACAGTCCTCCACATCCTCTTCATTTCAGGACCAAGGCTGATGGAACAGTCCCTGTCTGTGATATGCTGGCCTTGTGGCTGAGGGAAAAGAGCAAGTTGGTGGAACCAAGAAATGGCTCATAAAGATTCTGCTCCAAAATGGCACATGTCACTCTCACTCACATTCCATCGGCTAAAGCAAGTCACAAGGTGGCTAAGCCAGCTTCAATGGGGCAGGAAGCTTAATCCTCCAGCAGGGATGGGTCTAGTCGGGAAAGACACCAATATTATGACAATGCTGCAGCTATCACATCTACCTTTAAACAGTACTATCTAAGCCAGAGCTTCCCAAATGCTATGCCAAAACAGTGAATCCCTTGGCCCTGGGGTGGCTCATGGGGTCTGGGACAGTCGGAATTCCAGTAGCTACCCCGGAGTACCATTTTCAACTTGTGCTGTTTTTGTGATGGCAAAGGGTTTGGGCAGCATGGGAGCAGAGTCACAGGAGACCTACCAGGAACTGATGGGGTGAGAACTGTGACATGCCTGAGTCCCTTAGGGCAGGTTACCAAGGCTGGGCTGCCATCAGGGCTTGCACAAGTGGGGAGAAATCAGTTTGCCATGTCAGAGCTGACTGTGCTCTTCAGGTTTTCCTGTCTCTCTCTGACTATTGTCTCCTTGGTCAAATAGATAAATGCTGACATTTAAGAAATAGGCAGCATGTTTTTGGACTTAAGTATTTTGGAGAAGATAATGCTCACTTCGGACAACTTCACTGCTCCTATGGCCTCAACCTCATCTAAGCAAAAGACTTGCAAATCTCCACCCAGAGGTCCAGCAAAGCCACCATTCAGCATTCTCAATTATATTCAGATGTCTGATGGAGCTCTACCTGGGTGACAGACTCTTCAAATGCATCCTGCTCAAAATGCAGCTCTTGTGTTCTAATCCTCTACTCCAAAGTTCTTTTTCCAACATTCCCCATCCTGGTTAACCACGCCAGCAGCCACCCTCTTCACAGACTTGGAGCTCAGCCTACCATCTGCCTTACTCCCCTTTCCACCTCTGTCTATACCCCAAATTATCTTGTCTGGTCCAACTTCCGGGCACTTCTATCCTTTCTTCCCCCCTCCTCTGACTACACAGCAGCAAAGGCTCTTTTAATCACTAGCTTATACTACTTCAGTGGTAACCCAACTAATACACTTGTCTTTGCTTTCTTCACTGAATCTTACAGTATCCAAGGAGATTTTTCTAAAAATCTCTCCAGCTTAAAAATGCTGCAGAGCTCCCTGTTGTGAACAAAGACACTATCCAAGCTTCTTGGCATGACCTATAAGGCTCTTGCCTGACTCTCCTGTCTCATCTTTCCCAGCATCCCCACCACAGTGTGTCACCTGGTCACAGCAAAGCACTGGAATCTGCCAGTGTTCCATGCATTATCTGGAATCCTCTGACCTAATGTGCTTGCCTGACCATCACTGAGCCCAGGTATGCCCACTGGGAAGAATGATCTCCCACTGTATGAACCTGGATATGTCATCTGTAACACTACATTTGACTAATTTAATCTTCCTGCCCAAAACCTGGGTCTTTGAGAGTCAGGAGCATACATGATTCATGACAGTATGACTAGTGTCTGGAATGCATGAATGTTTCTGGACAGGAAGACGAAATGTTATAAAAATGTTAATTTGTAGATTCAACCAAATTCCAGTAAAGACCCTAAGATGATTTGGAGGGAAATGATACAAAACATTTCTAAAGGTCATACAGAATACTAAAGGCAAAATAGAAGATTCTGATAAACTATAGGGGAGTAGTCCTGCCAGATAATTAAACATAAAATACAGCAACAAAAATTAAAAACAACATACTTGTCCAAGAAGAAACAATACTGGACAGATTTCTCAAAGAGGCATCACAGATCCCAGGGAAATGATAGATTACTGAATACATGGTGTTGAGAGTATAGTTTAGCAGCTGGAAAAGAACAGATCCACATCACACCATAAACCAAAATAATTTATAGATGAAGTAAATATTTAAAAATTAACGAGACAATGTAAAAGCTTGTGAGCGGCCACTTAAGATGCATCAATTGGTCCCAGCCCACGTGGAGCAAAGGAGAATGAAGAACACCAAAGACACAAGGAAAATCTTAGCCCAAGAGACAAAAGAGCCACATAAACCAGAAACTCCATCAGCGTGAGACCAGAACAACTAGATGGTGTCTGGCTACCACCAATGACCTCCCTGACAGGGAAGACTATAGAGTCCCTGACGAAACAGGAGAAAAGTGTGGAAAACTTAATGGTCTGAGACTGGAGGAACCCCTGAAGCCATGGCCCCTGGACACTCTTAACCCAGAATTAAAACCATTCCCGAAGCCCACTCTTCAGACAAAGATCAGACTGGACTATAAAACAAAATACGAAGAGTGTGCCTCTTAGTTCAAGCAGATACACCAGACCAAATGGGCGACTCCTGTCCAGAGGCAGGATGACAAAGCAGAAAGGTACAGGAGCCGGTTGGAGGGACACGGGAAACCCTGGAGTGGAAAGGGGGAGTGTGCTGTCACATTATAGGGATTGTAACTAGTGTCACATAACAATATGTGTATAAATTTTTGTATGAGAAATTAAGCTGTAAACTTTCACCTAAAGCACGATAAAAAAAAAAAATTAACAAGACTAATGGAAAAAAAATAGAACTGGGTAACAAAACTCGGGGGGGTTGAAGATGAAAAAGCATCAAAGGAAAACAAAAAAAATATGTGATTGGATAGAGACTTAAAGCTTCTGTAGAGATAAAGAAAATGACCATAAACAACAAACTTTGCAAATAGCCATATATAATTAGGGTAAAAGTCCTAACCATAAATGGACCAAAGTCATGAACAGACACAAAATAAGTGTAACTAAAAGTGGCGAGGAATATTTAACGTCACTAGTACTTCAAAGAAAAAAATGAATCAGCCATTACTTGTATTGTTAATCTATTAAACTAAATTTGAAAATACGTAATTGACAATGTGGTTGGTGGGTTTACATCATTCACAGTGCTCAGAAGAGCTACTGATTGCATAGTACTGATATGTGAGGTCCTATTCTGAGTGCATTATGTAAAATACAACTCTGAAATAAACTTAATTTCACTTTAAACCAGTACCAATTGCCCTGTTAAGCGGCAGTTTCCAAATCATGGTGACCCCATGTGTGTCACAGGGTTTTCACTGGCTGATTTTTTGGAAGTAGATTGCCAGGCCTTTCTTTGGTGCCTCTGAGTGGACTCAAAAAGCCAACCCTTGCAGTTAGCAACCAAGCACAACCATTTCCACCACCCAGGCACTCCTATTTCACCTTACAGAGGAGAAAACCAGCCGGGAGAGGTTAAATAGCCAGAGCAGCTAGGAAGAGGGCACCAGGATTCCAACAAGCAAGGCAATCTGGGTCTAGAGCTCCAGCGCTTAGAGACTGCCCTAAATAAACTTAGCGCTCAATGAACGGGTAATTGAGCGAGTGTTCTTGGTTACATTTTAATTCGGTACCATCCTTTTTGGAAAAGTAATAATGCAAATATTCAGTAACCCCACTTCTAGTACTATATAACCTAAGGGCGTGTGGTGTATATTGTGGGGAGGAGAATAAAACAACTTGAAGAAATAAAAGCTTGAGGAGTAAGGGTATTCAGTTTCTCATTATAAATGATTTAAAATGTTTAAAACTACAATGGGGCAGCGACTTAAAGACTTGTTAGGTAGCTATTACAAACGACGATCATGAGGATTACCTACCACTCTGGGTAATGCTTGCAATAGAAAAGAGCAGGATGAACACGGGGGGCAAAGAAAAGCTAGCTGCAAATTTCAAAAGAAATTAACATTTTTAATTTTAGCATTTACACACGTTTAAAAAGTAGAAATTAAAATAGCATGTTGTCAGTTGCCGTGGAGTCAATTCCCACCCCTTGTGTGCAGAGTAGAACTGTGCTCCATAGGATTTTCATGGCTGCAACCTGTCGGAAGCAGATCATCGGGTTTGTCTTCCCAGGCGCATCGGGTTGGGGGGGGTGTGTTCGAACCAACCTTTCGCATAGTAGTTGAGGGCTTCTACTACTTCCTCCTAAATATTAACTTCCATTTAATAAACTTAACCACGTGCCAGGCACTATGCTAAGTGCCTTACCATTCTTATTTCATTCTCACAACAATTTATGACGCAGAAACTATTATCACATTTCACAGATTAGAAAATTTAGACAGGTAACGCTTCCTGCTCAAGGCTACAAATCCGGTGAGGATTCCACACCAGCAGGACTCAGTCCCAACCGCAAGTCTCTCGCGCACAATCCGCAGGCCGTCACCCAGGAAACCGAGCTCGCCCCGCCCCCTGGTCGTTCCCCCACTTCCGTTCCTGCGCGTTGCGGATCCTGTTGTACGTGCTGACAGTCATGACCGCTTCCCGCTTACCTCCAGTGACGCTAACGCTAAAGCAGGTACATCAGCGGTTCTCGTCCACCTTCCACGGCACCTTTCTGGGGTCTGAACATCTCGATTCTTCTCCTTTCCCTCCACCCTATCTACGGAGTGGGTCTTGGGGTTGAAAGAGGCGGGTCTGGAAGTCCTCACCCTGCGCCCGCTCTTTCGGTGATTGGCTCCAGGACGTGGGGGGGCCGGGCTCCCCGCCCCAGGGCCAATGGGAAGGCGCGCCAGCTGCCAAGTCCTGTCCTGGGGATACGAGGTGGGCGAGGCTCTTAATCTCTCCTATCCGAATGCCTCAACTGCCCAGTTGCCACAGTAAGACGATGCTGCCTGTTCCACAGAGCTGTGGCAAAGAGCAAGTGAGATTACCAGAGAATTTATAACAACTGCGCTAATTTAGAAAAAGTACTATTACCGCGATTACAGCTTCCAGGACTTTGGCAGCTTTTTTCTGCCTTGTGAAGTATTCAGCTCGCTAGAGCTCTTGATTTTAAGGGTTCTTAGGTTGAATAAATGAGTAAGCAGACAGCCCGAATTCACTTCTTGCCATTTTCTTAAAAAGAAAAAAAAAAAGTGTTTTTCTTTGCCTTGAAAAACTGGGGACCAAAATCTGGTTACAGTTTGGTTTGCTTTAGTACACCGCTCCAGACTGGCGACTGTGCAGTTGTAATTGCCATTTTTCCTCCCCGGTATAGTTCATAAGGCGGCAACAGGTTCTCCTTCTGTACAGGAGGATTTTGCAAGCAATCCGGCAGGTTCCAAATGATGCTGATCGCAGATACCTGAAGGACTGGGCAAGGGAAGAATTCAAAAAAAACAAAAGTGCCACGGAAGAGGTGAGAACAAGATCATGGTGAGGACAGGCCCTGACTCGTGTATTTATTAGAAGATTTTAAAAAAAAATTTAGTAGTCATTGTGGGATCTAAATGCCACCAAGATGGTATCGTTGCTCTTAATGTTGTCCACTTCCTACTCACTTAAATGTTAAATTTAATATCATCGTTATAGCTACATTCTTCAGTAGCATCACCTGACTTAGTTAAGCTGTATATAGAGTAGAAAAGATTATAAATGATGGTTTGGGAAGTATGATGATTGGGACTATGAAGGCATGCCAGACAATGTACACCCTTACTTGTCAGTTTTTGGCTTCCCTAATATGCAGCACTTCCAAATCCCAGTATTGGTTCTTGACATTACCAAGTAAAATGTACCTTGTTGAACCAAATAAAACAGTGACCCCATTTCACTTTTTTCTACAGGACACAATCCGGATGATGATTACTCAAGGCAACATGCAGCTCAAGGAGTTAGAAAAAACACTTGCTTTAGCAAAATCTTAACGATAGCATTATTCTGGAGGATTTTCTAAACTGCTGTGTGTTTGGGTGAGCTTAGGCTCAATGATGGGCAGCCCAAAGCCAAGTCGGATTGTTTGTATGTGCAGTACTTGGGCAAATTAACAGAACATGGACCATGGCATGTCATAGACATCACAAGAAAATAGAATCAGAACAATCCTCAGCACTGAAGATATGCCTTGAATTCTGGAAATGTTTCTGGATATGTCAGAAGTTTTTTAAGAAGCAAAAACCAGTACAACAAATGGCCAATAAGTACATGAGAGGATGCTCAACATCTTTAGCCATCAGGGAGATGCAGATCAAAACCACAATGAGATACCACTTTATATCCTCCAGGATGGTTGGAATAAAAAAATTCAGAGAATATTAAGTGTTTGTGAGGATGTGGAGAAATTGGAACCCTTGTACGCTGCTGGTGAGAATTTAAAATGGTGAAGGTACTTTGGAATACAAGTGGACAATTCTGAAAAGGCTAAACATAGTTACCATATGACCCAGCAATTCCACTCCTAGGTGTATACCCAAGAGAAATGAAACTTGTAGATGAATATTGATAGCAGTATTATTCATAATAGCCAAAAAGTGAAACAACCCAAATGCCCATTAACGATGATGAATGGATAAAGTGTGGTATAGCCATACAATAAAATTTTGGTACTGGATGAACCTTGAAAACATTATGTTACGTGAAAAAAGCCAGTCACAAAAGATCACATATTATATAATCCCACTTGTATGAAGTATCCAGAATAGGCAAATCTATAAAACAGTAGATAAGTGGTTGCCAGGGTGGAATAGGGAATAACTGCTAATAGGTACAAGGATTTTTTTGTGGGTAATGAAAATACCCTAAGATTAGATTGTGGTGATGGTTGAGTAACTCTGCATATACTAAAATCTATTGAGTTATATGTTTTTAAAATGGGTGCATTGTGTGGTATGTGAATTATATCTCAATAAAGCCATTAAAAAAAAAAAGTACAAAGCTTTTTAGCATGTGTGAAGTGGCTACGACTATTTATTACATAAGACGTTGGCTGTCCACATGTCATTTCCTCCTTTCAGATGTGCCATGGGTAGCAAGTTTTAAACTTGTGGACAAGCATTTCTGTGGATTTGCCTGCAGAGAGACAGATGACTGACTAAATATTTGAGGACAGCAAGACACATTTTCCTGGTATTTGTATTGTAATCATACTAGTAGGAGAGGCTCAGAGGCACAGGGCCATTCTTACCAAAATTATCTCTGTCTTACATGGAATAAGTAGGGAAATGTTAGTAAAAACAAAGGGAAGTAGCCTACATCTACCTTGAAAAATCTATGCTTGAGATTATGTAGAATAAGGACCCAGAGGATCAAAACAGACTCACGCCATGCTAAACTAGAAATCACCATGGACTGTTTTCTTGCTTGAGTCAAGCATTTGGGAAATTATGGTTAAACTGAATTTATAATTTTTGTTTACCATGAAGAGTAAGACACTTTCACCCACTCTTACTTGTATAAAAAGTGCCACACTGTGTCTTGTTTTTGGGTCTCATGGAGAGACAATATTAAAGAAAGTTACAACTGAAAAAATGTTTGATGGTTTTTTCTTATTTATAAAAGGTATTCTAAAAGGTCTTTAAAAAAAGAAACACACCATTGTCCTTTAAGTTTTATTTAATTGACTGGCTTCTACAGTCCATACTTTTTTTACAAGAGGAAATGTATTTACCTTTTAGGAACAATTTATTAGTCAAAAAAAGTATAACGTTAGCTTGCATATTATCTAGCTGTTACAAATGATTTTTTGCTCAGTATTTTCCAAATGGTCAGCAGTTTGAACAAAACATTTGTTCGGGTTTGCACTGAGAAGTCTTGCCATGATACAGCAGTGTTTTTGTTTTGTTTTCATGCAGTGCACCTGATTTCTATTTTAAAGCAGACGTATTTATTCTGAATTTACACTTTTATAGACACAAGGTGAAGTATGACTGGGTGAAGGCACTCTTTTCAGGAACTATAAAATTTGGTCAGCTATACAAATGAAAATGTAGGCTGAACTTTAACACTTTCATTTTTTTAAAACAAGGAATTTAATGTCCATAGTATTAAGAGTGATGTTTAATTTTTGGATGAGACATGAATTCAAGGTAATAAAATATAAAATAGAAGACAAATAACATGCCTCTCACAGAGATTAACATTTGACTCAAAAAAGAAGGTATAAACATGAAACATTGCTTCCTTTATTTTGGGCTACAAAGTCAAAAGTCATATTAGGACTAATATACTTAGTCTATCACAGATACTATATGCAATGCAGTGATGCGCTAATTTTTTTTAAAAGCACTGCAATATTACAACTTTGCTGTGTTTTACACCATTTTTTCCCACTACTGTTAAAAATTTTAGCCTCAGTCAGACATAACATACATGAAAAATTATACATTGTTAACAGTTCATTTCCCTGAAAAAGTACAGTTGTGGCATTTGTTCATTTTTGCAAACAGCACAAGGGGAAAAAAAATAAGGAAGAATACACAGTGGACTTCAAGTTAAGTTTTTGACAATGCCAAGAAGCAAAAAAGATGAAACATATTTATTGAAAATAAAAATCTATTGCATTGGTTTTGTGAGGTTGCCTTCTCCTTTGGGTTAGGAGGCTGGCTAACCCTGTTCTGTTTTCTTGCCTCTGTTGGTTTTTCTTCTATGACAGACTACCAAGGACAAGAGCCATGTAATCTGCCAAACTAGGTCATTTGACTTTTCTCGTTCCTCCCTAGTCTCTTAACTGTGACTTTCAACAAAAATATCCAGTTCACATCTAGGTCAATTGGCATAACATATATCATAAAGAAAACATTCTACATCCTACTTTAGTGAGTAGTGTCTGGGGTCTTAAAAGCTTGTGAGCAGCCATTTAAGATACAACTATTGGTCTCTTTCCATTGGAGCAAAGGTGAATGAAGAAAACCAAAGACTCAAGAAAACAATTACTCTGAAGGGCTAATGGACCACAGGAACCACAGCCTCCACCAGCCTGAAACCAGAAGAACTAGATGATGCCTGGCTACCTCTATTGACCACTCTGACCAAGATCACAAAAGAAGTTTCTGGTTAGAGTAGGGGGAAAAAAAACGTAGAACAAAATTTAAATTCATAAAAAAAGACCAGACTTACTGATCTGAGACACTGGAGGAATCCCCGAGATTATGGTCCTTAGACACCCTTCTAACTTGGAACTGAAGCCATCCTGGAGATCACCTTTCAGCCAAATAACACACAAGCCTATAAATAATAACACATGAGAGGAAAGTGCTCCTCAGAACAATCATCTACATGAGACCAAAAGGACAACACGTGCCTAAAAGCAAAGATGAGAAGGCGAGAACGGGCAGGAAAACTAGATGAATGGAAATGGGGAACTCAGGGTGGAGAGTGCTGACACATTGTAGGGAGTGCAACCTATGTCATGGAACAATCTGGATAAACTATTGAATGGGAAACTAATTTGCTCTGTAAACCTTCACCTAAAGCAGAATTAAAAAAAAAAAAAAATCCATTTCACGATGATAAGCTGACTGCTTCTGATGGGCAGGAGGTATATAATCAAAATACTTCACACAAAAGCACTCAATGGTCTAGTTCTGATACTTAAAATTTAATTTGTTTTCAGTATTCCTTGACAAGGACGCCCCTTAAGGTAATACAAGATATTTTGATAAATGAAAATTACTCCTGTTTGGAACACAACTTACTGAACCTCTCAGGATTTCATCTCTTCTTTGAGTATCAGGCAGCTCCTGATAAAGTATGTTTATTGTGGAATGGCTCCAAAGAGGTTAGGTGATATCTTGTTGGGGATGGATTTAGAAAGGTACTAACTCTAAAATTCTGTGATTCTGCATTGAGAACAAGTAAGGAAATGAAGAGAGGAAAATGCCTCTACACTAGCGATCCAACGAGAGACTATGGGGAAGGACTGATAGGTCTCGCAGATAGTAGGGACAAGACAAGTTTACAAACATGAAAATACGCTTGAGATAACATCAAATTAATTCCATATTCAGGTTCTGTAATGGTAACACAGGAGCCCTGGTGGCATGATGGTTAAGTGCTTGGCTGTTAACCCAAAGGTTGGCAGTTCAAACGCACCCAGTGGCTCTGTGGGAGAAAGAACTGGTGGTCTGCTCCCATAAAGATTACAGCCTAGAAAACACTATGCTGCAGTTCTACTCTGTCACATGGGGTTGCTATGAGTTGAAAATTGACTTGACAGGACTTAACAACAACATTAGTAACACAATCTACTGAATTACTTTTATTATTAGCAATGTCTGTGTCCGTAGATTGTCACTATAAAAAATAAAAAATGTGAGCTTGATCAGCAAAAAAAAAAAGGGATTGAAAGCCTACTTTGTTTTTCTGGGTATCCCATGTCAAGTCATTGTTTTCTCTTTGGCTCAATGAGCAGCATCTTACACTTATGGACAATAGTTATTAGGTTCCTGGTTAATATGTGTTTACAGAAATAGAATTGAAGTTTCTATGCATACATGGAATTTTGAGGAGATGAATATAATTCCACATTCCAAGGGACAAGAAGTCTGGAAGATAATTATATCCAAAGTTTAACATACCCAAACTACTTTTACAATAAAACTGTTTCTATGTTTATTGTTATTCATTATGGATCAAAGCAAAATCCTTAAAGCTCCATGAAACTGGAGAACAGTGGGGTCTAAATCAAGTTGAGTTATGGAGCCTGACAATCACTGTAAAGCAGTGGAAAGCTTTTGAGGTTCTTCAAATAATCCAATTCAAAACTAAATACTTTTAAGAAGTAGCCTATTTCCTTATAAAATTTAGACCGATAAGCTGAAATTCAGCAAGGTACTCTAAAATCACTAAGTTTGATTCTATAATGAAGTTTCAGGTAATTGTTAGGTGAATATTTTTTCCTTTTATCTGCTTTAAAGTCACTATGATTAATCAGTTTTTTGGCTCAAAATACAGAAACTATGATCAAAAGCTTAAAAACTTTCTCATTTGAGCTCATTAACAGCGCTACTGGCCAATTATTATTTAAAAACATTCTGACTTTTCAAATAATTTTAAGCTATACTAGATCTTGTGACATCATGAAAATCTCTTTCTCCTCAAAATTTGTTTGATAAGTTTCTACCTGGTTACAACGTCAGCATTTTGGAATCTGCAATTTGAGAGAGAAGTTTTAGCACATCTTGGAGTTACAGCTCTTTTAGAGAGACACTCTTGTCTAGGCACAGCAGGTATGTTTAAATTTATATGAAGGACTATTCGATTTGAATTCACAAGGGATTGATTTATTCCTTGTTTTTGATTTATATTATTTCATACATCCTGAATGTTTGGGTTTAGGCTTACACATCATTCAGCTCCTTAGCATGGCTCGCTTAATCTGAGCTTTTGAACTCCAGATGAACCTGGACTGAGGTTTGAAGTTTGTAATGAAACTTGAAACTAAGCAAGCTTCCCCTGGTTTCAGTTTAATTGTTGAAGTCTTCATAACTTCAGGGCATAGGAAGCTTGTGTCTGGCACATTTAAGAAAGAAGTGATTTTTTTAAAAGGCAAGTCTGCTATGTGCGCAACAATTGACACCTTGGGTGAAGGTATTCTGCAGTTGCAAAACCAGAAATCCTCAAAAATCCTTTCTTGTTCCACTTCCCAGGTCCTAATTTTCCTTCTGCACCTTAGTCCTTAGTTTAGCAAGTTCCTCTCCTAAACTTTTAATGTGCTCCTGCAGTGTGGCCTTGTCTTGTTGGGCTCTTTGATTGGCTTGGCTTCGTGCTTCTTCAATCTTCCTTTCATACCACTTTTCCATCTGGGTAGAAACAGCCTCAAAAAAATACTGGGTAAGCTCCAGGGCTTGGGAGGTGTCTCGAACATGCGCGGCAGTCTGCTCGCTGCCTGCTGCTGGTGGTGGCAGCGGCCCACCACTGTTGCTGGATGCTGGTGGCTGGACTCGATGCCTCGTCTGCCCACTTTTCCCAGACTTCTTGGTTTGGGTGCCTCTGTCGACGCAGGGTCCACCCTGCTGATCGCACTTGGCTGCCTCATTCAAAGGCAGCAAGGCTGTCTGGACCTTGACATTCCTCAGTCGGGAACCTGCACAGTCAGAAGAAGACAGCTCCTGCTGGAGTCTGTGGGCAGCGGTGGAGTTGAGCGCCTTCTCCTTGGGCCTAACCACCGGAGGGGAACTGTCGGAAGCTGCTACTGGACCTGCAGTCACCACTGATTGATCCACACCTGGTTTCAGGAGGAAAATAAAAGTCAGAGCAAACTCGCGTTCATACGGCCAGATGGCTGCGGGTCGGGATTTGTTTGAGAGGCCTGGGAATCCTGTAAACTACCAGCCAGGGCATTCTCAATCATCACCCACCACCTGCAACTTTCCCTCTGTGGTTTCTCTCAACATTCTGTCCGTCTCTGCTACTTCTTCTCTCATTAGCATTTGAGCTTGTCAGGGCTTTCATGGATACCACGGTAGCCACACCGGTAACATCGAAGGCAACGAAGCTGCTGGTCTTTCCTTCAGCCAGTCTCAATCTACTCTAGGAGTCTCTGGGTCCCATTTCCTGATCGCTAAGGTTGACACAACTCACCAAGTGTCTCAAAACAGAGTTGGCCATTTATTTATGAAAACAAATATCCCCATTCTCTAATTTCTGGGTCCTTTCCACACTGTGGCCCCAGTGTACTAGTTCCTTGACCCAAGCTCCGATTTGGAAAGATGGCCCTACTCCTTATACCCAGAGCTCCATGATAAGCTCCATGACTACTCCTAGCATGAAAAGTCTGCCCAGAATCTCTTCCAGTGTTGTGAGCACAAAGAAGATAAAGCCATAGTCCCAGAGGTGGCCTCTGGTAACACAAAACAAACAAAAACTGTTGCCATGGATTCCAACTCATGGCAACCCCACGTGTTACAGAGTAGAACTGCTCCATAGGGTTTTCTTGGCTGTAATCTTTACAGAAGCAGATCACCAAGTTTCTTCTATGGTGCTGCTGGGTGGGTTTGAACGGCCAACCTTTAGGTTAGTAGTCAAGCATAAACCGTTTGCGCCACCCAGAGACCTAACACGAAACACCTGACATACAAAATCTCCCACTGAGCTCTCATCATCAAGGCTCTGAATGTCCTCAAAATTATTATCGCTGAATGTAATCACTGTGGCTAATGTAAAGATGTTTTGCTCAGAGCATCTCTTACCTAGTAGCTGGGGCAGGTTTAATACGTGAACTGCTGTTTAATGAGGTTTCACATAGTTGGACAAAGGTAAATGGCACATCAAGGAGAAGAAAAGGGAAAGAGGCACAAAAGGTAAGGAAGTGAGCCCTGCTCTGGAGACAGATCCTCTGTTCATCACCCCTCATCTTTGGAGTCCACAGCTGAGACCATCAACATTGAACCTGAAGCATGGTATCACTGATCAATAATTCTTTCAGATATTTTTGTGCACTTAGGCAAGAGTGCTTCATTACTATATAGGAACTTAGTATACAGGAGTGAGCAAAACAGACACGGTCCCTGCCCCTCTACAGAGCTTACTCTAAAATCCAGTGTCCCCCAAAGCCCTATAGTGTGGACTGTCTTCTGATGCAGGAGAGAAGGAGACTGGCAAAGTTTCATCTCCTTTGGACGGAAAGGCTCTCTGCAGGTGGATTACCTGTTGAGGACTCACAAGTAGATGGTGTGGATTTAGTCCTGGAGGCCCTAGAATCTCCAGAAAGCTTCAGCTCCAGATTCTGAATCTTTAACATGCACCAGGTTTTTAATTCATCCACCAAGGACATCTGAGAACACAAATTAGTACACAAAAGAATCAAGTGAATTCGATATATGGTTTATGAATTAAAGCATTGTGAATGGACTTTTCAGCAGTTGAGGATATCGCCTTGACAAACCCCAAAGTTGTGGTTCACTCACCCTCCCACAGGCCACAGCCTTCTCTAGACTACAACTCATCTAGCACCCAAGTTAATAGCTACCTAGATTCTTCATTAAGTGACTGAGAACCACCTGAAACTCAAACACCCAAAGCCACCCAATCTTCCAAAGTAAGCATGTCTGGCTGCTTAAAAGCATGAGCTCTCTCATACAGGACAGCTCGGTGTTTATTGTCCCAAGTAGACTGTATACTCCCTGAGGGCAAGAGCCATGTCTTGTTCAACAATCGTGTAATGGTCCAACAAATGCACAGTAAATAGAACTGGTTCAGGGCAGAGATCCCGTTTTCCCCAACATGTTCTATAAATTGTTCAGTCTCAACCTATTACAGTATATTCAACAATAAACATAAACTGAACTTACAGGTTCTTCAATTAACTTCATTTTAGGATTAAGAAAACACCATGCTATATAATGCAAGTACTCTGAATTTTCAGTGATAGGTCTGAATCTTTTAATTCAAAGGACATGTGTGATGAATTATAAGGACTGACAAATACTGTTTTGTTTTGTTTTTTAATTTTACTTTGGTAAAGTATATATAACAAAAATTTGACATTTTAACCATTTTTAAGTGTACAATTCAGTGACATTAATTACATCCACCATGTTGTGCAACCATCACAACTGTCTATTCCAAAAGTTTTTCATCATCCCAATCAGAAACTCAGTACCCCTTAAGCAATAACTCCCCATTTCTCCCTCCCCACAGCCCTTGGTAACCACTCATAAACTTTGGTCTTTGTGCATTTGCCTATTCTAGATATCCCATATAAATGGGATCATACAATGTTTATCCTTTTGTGTCTAACTTATTTGACTTAGAATAACAAGCCCTGGTGGCACAATAGTTAAGTGCTTGGCTGCTAACCAAAAAGTTGGCAATTTGAACCCACCCTGCCGCTCCATGGGAGAAAGACCTGGTGATCTGCTCCCATAAAGATTACAGCCTAGAAAACCCTATGGCACCTCAACAACAAAAAGACAAACAATCCAGTCAAATATGGGCAAAGGACATGAACAGACACTTCACCAAAGAAGACATTCAGGTGAATAACAAACACAGAAGAGATGCTTGCATTCATTAGCAATTAGAGCGATGCAAATCAAATCTGCAATGAGGTACCATCTCACACCTGCAAAAATGGCACTGATCAAAAAAACAGAAACAACAAATGCCAGTGAGGTTGTGGGGAAACTGAAACTTTTATACACTGCTGGTAGGGTTGTAAATGGTAAAACCACTATGGAAAATGGTATGGCACTTCCTCAAAAAGCTGGAAAAAAAATACCATATGATCCAGCAATCCTACTCTAGGTATAGATCCTAGAGAAAGAAGAGCAGTGACATGAATAGACACATGCACACCCATGTTCACTGCAGCATTATTCACAACAGCAAAAAGATAGAAACAACCTAAGTGTCCATCAATGTATGAATGGATAAATAAAACGTGGTATATACATACAATGGAATATTATGCAAAGATAAAGTAGAATGATGAGTCCGTGAAACAGCATGGATGAATCTGGAGGACATTATGCTGAGTGAAATAAGACAATCACAAAATGACAGATATTGTATGATACGACTTTTATAAAGTTAAGAATAGGTTCACACACAGAAAGCAATGTTCTTTGATGGTTACCAGGGATGGGAGGGGGAAGGAGGAAGAATCACTCACTAGATAGTAGACACATTAATTCTGGTGATGGGAAAGGCAAAACCCTACAGGGTAGTTCTACTCTGTCACATGGGGTTGTTATGAGTCGGAAGCAACTCAACAGCACACAACAACAACGTTTTCAAGGCATGTGTTGTAGCGTGTATCAGAACTTCAGTTCTCTTTATGGCTGCAGATTCTGGTTTTTACCTGTCGTTTCTCTCCCTCATGCTTTTCCGTGTCTGAGTGCTGTTGCAGGCGGTTCAGGCATTCGGTTCTCTCTGCTGAGAGTCGCTCCACCATCAGCTTATCCAGCACACGCATCTAGGATTCAACAGGAAAGAGCACATGATCAATAAGATCTAAGGATGAGTCCTGGTCTCTCGACTCCTGAGGAGGGGCCCAGGAAGTACCAGGCAGGGGCCAGAAAGAAAGGAAGCAAACCTCAACTCCTCATTCTATTTCATACCGTTTTTGTGGAACTCGAGTCTTTCAGAATTCCTGATCATGTTTCTGTGCAGGCCATTGTTTCTTTCTTTTCTCATTTTTTAAAGTCATAAAGGATTTAAGAGACTACAAATTGAACCAATGCAGACATTGTAGGCAAAATAGACTTTTTATTGGCCTTAGAACATTATTTCTAAGACTGTTATAAGTAAAAACTAAGAAAAGTATGGAGTTATTGCCCTCCTCTTTTTTAATAAACAATGTTAGCCGCTGCCCAAAAGGTAGTGAAACAAGCTGAATCCTCAGGGCTTTCATCCAGTTTTCTCAGTGGGCAAATACTTCTTCTGGTATTTCACTGAAATTAGCCAAAGCATGTGCAAAGAAGGATGTGGAAGGAGTTTAAGGAATTGCTTCACAGAACAAGTGACTGTCACCTTTCAACTGCATGCCTTTCTAGGTCCCGCCTTTATCTTACATTTCCTGTAGGGCCCTAACATCCAGCAGGGCCAAACTTTCACCACTTTGACGAGGTGTACTGCCAAGAGACCGGAAGAGAAAGGAACCGTTGTCAGCGGCGGGAGCCAGCCCACGAGGGCTCAATGGTGAGCTCCTCTCCTCTCAGGGACATACATGGAGTTCCCCACTCACATGTTCAAAGAATAAAAAAGAAACATCAGTTCTGCAGACGTAGTGAACTCCTGTTTTGTCTCCTCGGTCGCCGTGGTTTTCTGTGTACCGCCCCCTCCTGTGTTCCAGAACTGGCCCACCCCTGTCCCTCCTTATCCTCTTGCACAAATGGTTATGGCAGGAGTGGCTGTGTTTATGCATGGTTTTGTTCACAGGTCACGGCTGATGGGTTCAGGTGTTAACACCTGACTCGTACAAGCCAGGCCTTTCCCTGGGATTTGGAATGAGGACAAAGATTCTACACCCCAATCTGGCACATTTCCTGAACCCAACAAAGGCAATTTTTGAATCTGGGGGAAAGAGAACAAACGGATCTGAGGGAAGAGAAAAGAACGAAGCAGATGCTCAGAAGCAAAGACAAGAAGCCCTCCTAGATTCCTCAGTACGCTCCACACCCTCAGTTTGTTCCTTTCCTCAGCCAGAGGCACCCCTGCCCGGGAAGTCCTTGTGAGCACTCACCTAATCCACTGCACTTTGGGTTTAGGCTAGCTAAAATGAGTGTTTTAATCCACAGTTAAAACAGTCTTAACTACTATATCATGGCCCTAAGAAAAGATTTTTTCCAAAATGGGCTTTCCACGAAATGCAAATAGCATATAAACCTTAAAAATGTTCAACCTCACCAGTAACCAAGGAAATAAAAATTAAATAAAATGTCCTTAATCAATTTGGTAAAAGCTTTTTTAAAATGATAATATGAAATGATGGCAAAGGTTTGATACAGAAACTCTGATACTGCTGGTGGAAATGCAAATTTGTACAACCTTTCTATTAAGACATTTGCCAATATTTACAAGAGGTTTAAACATATTCTTAATTTTGGACTCAAATTATTCTAATTCTGAGCAAATAATCTGAGAAGCAGCCCAAAGTTTATCCATATAAACGTTCATCGCAGCATTATTTAGAATAGTGAAAAACTGTAAACAACTTAAAAGTCTACCAAAAGGAATGGTTAAATAAGTTATGTTGTATTAATATGCTGGATTATTATAAAGCCAAGAAAATTCTTATGATATAAAATTAAGTGAAGAAAGCAGGAAGCAAAATTATTTGCCTACTTCTAAACACAGGAATAGTACCCAGCCATTAAAAAGCACAAGGTAACTCAACATGTCTAAGACATATTACTAAATGAAAAAAGCAGCAAAATAATATAGCATACTTCCAATTTATTTAAAAATGATAATTCTCCAGGTTATCTATAAAAAAGGAAGCCTATGTGAAAATACACCAAACTGGGAATGGTAGGGATTTCTGGGGAATGTCACTATGGTACATATTTCTGTAATGTGGAATGTTTTTCCCAAAGAACATGTGTTGTTTTTAATTTATTTTTATTTTTTTGTTGTACTTTAGATGAAGGTTTACAGAGCAAATTAGTTTCTCATTAAACAATTAATACACATATTGTTTTGTGACATTGGTTGCCAACCCCATGACGTTTCAACACTCCCCTTTCGACCTTGGGTTCCCTATTACCAGCTTTCCTGTCCCCTCCTGCCTTCTAGTCCTTGGCCCTGGGCTGATGTGCCCATTTAGTCTCATTTTGTTTTATGAGCTTGTCTATAATCGTTGGCTGAAAGGTGAACCTCAGGAGTGACTTCAGTACTGAGTTAAAAGGGTGTCTGGGGCCATACTCTCGGATTTCTCTAGTTTCTGTCAGGCCAGTAAATCTGGTCTTCTTTTGTGGGTTAAAATTTTGTTCTACATTTTTCTCCAGCTCTGTCTGGGACCCTCTATTTTGACTCCTGTCAAAGCAGTCAGTGGTGGTAGCCGGGCACCATCTAGTTGTGCTGGGCTCACTCTGGTGGAGGCTGTGGTAGTTGTGGTCCATTAATTAGTCCTTTGGACTAATCTTTCCCTTGTGTCTTTGGTTTTTTTCATTCTCCCTTGATCCAGACAGGGTGGGACCAGTGGAGTATCTTAGATGGCTGCTCACAAGCTTTGAAGACCCCAGACACTACTCACCAAAGTAAGAGGTAGAACATTTTCTTTATAAACTATGTTATGCCAGTTGAGTTAGATGTCCCCCGAGACTATGGTCCCCACAGCCCTCAGCCCAGTAATTCGGTCCCTCAGGGAGTTTGGATGTGTCTATGAAGTTTTCATTACCTTGCCTTGGTCAAGCTATGCTAACTTCCTCATATTTTTAAGTTTTTTAAAGTACTTTATTTTAATTTAAAAATCTATATTCGGGGAGTTATTGCTTAAGGGATACTGAGTTTCTGTTTGGGATGATGAAAAACATTTGGAAATGGATAGTGGTGATGGTTGCTCAACATGGTGAATGCAATTAATGTCACCAAATTGTGCACATAAAAATGGTTAAAATAGCAAATTTTTGTTATATATATTTTAACATAATAAAATATTTAAAAATCTATATTTGTCACACATTACTTATTAATTACAAAAGGAAAATGAACTTTTACAATGGAGAGACATGGTGGTTGCCAGCTTAGCCAAGTGATCAAATTCAGCATCATTAATAATTACACATCCTGACATTATGTGCCTTCTGATGTGATGCAATTTTGAAGTTCACACCATTAGTATTGGTATATGAAGTATTCTTGCCAAAAATACTTAAGTTGAACCTAATCAAGCATCTAGACTAGTGGTTCTCAAACTTTAACATGAATCAGAATTACCTGGAGGGTTTGTTAAAAGACAGATTGCTGGTCCACACATCCAGAGTTTCTGATTCAGTAAAAAGTTCAACAAAGAAAATGTGCATGTGAGAAAGACATACAGCAAATATGGCAAAAAATTGGTTGAATTTAGGTGGAAGGTATATGAGTGTTCATCATACTATTCTTTCAACATTTATGTTTGAAATTTTTCAAAATAAAAAGTTAGGAACAGAGAAAAAACTACAGACATGATTATTTTAATTTTGTGTGCAGGGGAGGGGTGTATGATGAGCACACCGACATAAAGAAAAGACTAGAAGAAAAGAAGCCCAAATATTTATAGTGCTTTTTCATCATAGTGGGTGTATAGGTGATTTATTTTCCTTTCTAACTTTCATATTTTTCTAAATGCTCTGTAGTGGGCATATATTATTCTTATAATCAGAAGCAATTTAAGTACGTTCTTAAGTGATTTAAATAAACAGGCTTTAACAAAGTTATGTAAGCAGCCTCTTCTCTGAGAGCCTATCCGACACTCAGGGCAGAGTTAACAGGATGAAATGGGTACTCAGGTCTCTTTCTGATTTCATTTTGTGCCAGAATACCTTGCAATTAGGGGGCTGGCCCACTCGCTTACTTGGTGCTGGGTCTTATTCTCCATATGCCCCAGCTTTGTATTCATTTTATCCTGAACAGATCCCAGCTCAGCTTTTAGCTCCTCAACAGTTGCCTCCAACTGGTTCTCCAGCTTGTTGATTAGAGGTTCACATCGACAACCATTTATTGGTGCCTATGAGGGAAACAAAAAAGGAATCACTACAACTCATTACTTCCTTCAACAAATACGTTTTAAGCACCTACTAAGTGCCAGACAGTACACCAGGGGCTGAGAATACAGATGATGGAGGAGACAGACTGAGCCCTATCATAACTTTTGAATTTTCTGTAGGCCAAGCTTTGCATCTTATAGGCACTAAGAAGATTCAGAGAGGGTAAGATATGGCCCCTGTCCTCAAGCAGCTCATGCCTGAATCCTCAAGATTATCTATTCACCTAAGGATGGTGCACGGGGCAATGGTGGTTCAGTCTCGCCTTCTATGCAGGAGACTTGGGTTCAATTTGATTCCTGGACAATGCAACTAATGTTCAACCACTACCTCTCTGTCAGTGGAGGCTTGTGTGTTGCTATCATGCTGAATAGGTTTCAGTGGAATTTCCAGACTAAGATGGACTAGGAAGGCAGGCCTGGTGATCTATTTCCAAAAATCAGTCAATGAAAACCCTATGGATCACACGGTCTGATCCCCAAAGGATGATGGGGATGGCAGAGGACTGGGCAGCACTCATTCTGTTGTGCATGGGGTCACCATGAGTTGGGTGTCAATTCCACGGCAGCTAACAACAACAAGGATGGTGCAGAAAGCTTTGTAACTAAACCTCTGTTTGCTTGGGCCTAACCAGCAGGGGTATATCTGCACCATTTAAGTCAGTAGAGCCATCTAACTTATCTTCCAAACTCTTGCCTTATTAAATCACTGGCTAACGTGGATGGCAGCCCCCAGGGATAGTGTCAAAGGGACAGCCTTGTTTAACGCCTGTGGCTGTAGCTCCTGCAGCATGTACCTGCATCACTTTCCCATCCTTGCCCCGGTACAATGTGTAGAGCTGGTATGCTCTGAACTCATGGGGAGGGTGTGGGGATGAACACCGATGCCTGCTCCTCTTTTTAGGGCGGTTATGAGCGTGTATGTTCTTCTGGTGTCCAGGCTGTTGGTCTGCTGGTGGAGTGGGGTCTGAAAAGGCTGACACCTGAGGAAGAGGAACACATGACAGCCTGAGCACTAGTGACATCTGTAAGAGTAACAGCAGTCATTGGCTCCCATCTCAGCCACTTTAGGACAAGGAATCCCTTCTTGCTTCACCTCAAGGCATTCTATTCCAAACACCACATGTCAAAAGAGATATACTGGCATGCTAACCTTGTGTTGGAAGTTAGCCAGATTTAAATTTCTGTGTTCTGGCTCCAAACCAGCAAGCCAAGTGAGGTGGCTTTTTAGCTGTTGGGCATGATAAGTCCCCAGGGCCCTCTGCCAACCTACCTCCCAGCCATCCCCTCGGCTGCTCTCACGTGCCTCCTGACCTTGGGCCTTGACTTTCTCTTCATGTTGTCCTTTGCTCTGGGCTCCGGGGATGCCGACAGGAAATCTTCTCTGGCCTCTTCTTTTCTGAGTTCAGCCTGTTCACTGCTGGGGGTGTCTCCTGCTGAGACACTACCCTACAGAGAAAAAAAGCCCAGACACCTAAGAAGCTTCTGTTGCCCCTTTTTTTCATTCATTTCATACCCACATACCATTTCTTTAAGGACAGACTTACACCTTTGACTTTGGGGAGACGATGGATTGTGCTCAAAGATACTACACTCTGTTCTACCTTCCCTCCCCAAAGGCCAGGTGGGTGGGACACAAATTTGCCCCAAGAGAATTGTTATATTGAAGAAAAGCAATGCTCAGAACCTGCACAACCCCTGAAGCCCTCCCATCCTTTTTCTTAACTGAGATGAAAGGTGGTTTCTTCGAACAGGGGGAGGTAAAACAATAGCATTCACTGAGGAGAAGGTCAGGTTTGCTGCTGACACAAACCCACGTGTCCAACGTGGGAACAGCAGCAACTAGCAAGGAACCCAGTCAGGCACTAGCCAAAGGTGATTTCCACCTGAATGAAGTGATAAGGCGCTTGTTCTACTTGTCCCATCCCCTTTTGCACTAATGGGGTAAAATTCTGTTTGCAAGACTCCATTCACTAAGGGACCCATGGGAATCTTTACCAAGGAGGTAAGTTTCAGTCATAGGGTGGTGGTCTTAACGGAATATGTATGCTTTGCCTGGTTAGTTGAATACTTGGCTTTTATTATATTTATCAGGAACCAAACTAAATGTATTCTTGGGTCTAATTCTTTGTACTAGAACTCCAGGAACCTACCACACATAAAACACCTTAGCACTAGTGATTTCTAGTCTTTTCCATTACAAAAAAACAGAAACCCGCTCATTCTTTGGATTTGGACCCCTACAATTCATGGCAGAGAGAACTCTTTGAAATGAAGCAATATCAAAATTCTGGTCCTCCAGAGAACTTTTACAACTCATTGTCTATGAGTCACACATAGGAACTTCATCACAGTGACACTACCTTAACCATGGAGACTGATGAGAGGATTGTGAAATGGCAGATAGAAGAGCAGGTACTTGGTGATATAATGTTATATGCCAAAAGGTGTCATGCTTAATCCCTATATCCACTCCACAAGAGCCCCTAGCTGAGGGGGTGAGGAGGTTGAAGGGAGCTGAACTCCAGCCATGTGTGTACCCCATGCAGGGCTGGTATGCTCAGGGGGCATCTTTTTCTAATTTGCACAAATGAGCCACGTGAGCTAGCACCAAAACCAGACCTGTTGCCATCAAGCCGATTCCAACTAATAGTGACCCTACAGGACAGAGTAGAACTACTCCATAGGGTTTCCAAGTAACAGCTGGTGGATTTGAACTGCTGATCTTTTGGTTAGCAGCCATAGCTCTTAACCACTGCGCCACAGCCTTGGTCAATTCCCTAGTCTGAAAGAGAGGAAGCAACCTACAACAGTGGTTCTCAAACCTTACTGCATATAAGAATCAGCAAGGTTCAAACACAGATTACTGGACCCCATCCCAGAGTTTCTGATCCAGGAGGTCTAAGGTGAGGCCCAAGAATCTGCATTTCTAAGAAGTACCAGGTGATACACTCGATACCACACTTTGAGAACCACAACTAAAGGGCGCGATGTCGGAGTGGCAGTGCTGCCCATATGGGGGGAACAAAGGCCACAGATACATGGGGCTATTAAACATATCCACCCAAGGATGCTGGAAAAGATGGGCAGCACACACACAGTCACATGCTCTGAAACCCTGGAGGAGTGGGGACACGGAGCCAAAGGGGAAAGACTGACCACATTTGGAAAAACCCCAGTGGGGAAGGAGAGGTGAGGACAGCATGGCAGCCGCCAGATGAACCCAGTGGAAGTAGGGAGATGGCTTCCCACCCACTGTATGGGGGATGAGGGTGCGGGAGGGCTACTACCCCCCACCTTGCTTTGTGGCACCTCATCTCTTGGCACAGACTGGGCTCTCCTCTCTTCCTTGAGCCTTTCTCTCTTTTTCCTCAGGCTTCGCCCACGACTGAAGCGCAAAACCTGAAGGAAGCAAGAGGCACTGTTAAAACCACTAGTGTGCGCAGCATCAGTATGAGAGAATTCTCCTTGGACCTGGTGCTTTGACCTAAAGGAACTTACATCCTAGGGGGGGAGACCAAGTATTCACATCAAACAAGCATCTCTGGACTATTACGATGCCTGCTAGGTCTTGTGCTGGGCACTATCAGGACCCAGAGGTGGGGAAGTCCCTGACCTCAAGGAGCTGATAGTTTATGACAATAATAACTGGTATGTATGTGCTGAATCAGGACTGCCAAGTAGGTGTGCACAGGCTGTGGGCTGCACAACTCCAGGGGCCCCACTCACATAGACTAGGCTTATATAAACCAGGCACCGCCTCCCTCACCATCTTGGTACACTGGACCTGAACTAGCCCGTCAGATTTCCTCTTGGCCAAACTATGTCTAAGTCTTGCTCAATTTGATTCAAACATTAAGGTGCATCTATGAGTCATGGTACCAACCGCGGGGCAGGAATCTCTTCCCCAAAATGAAACACATAGCCTGCCACTTACAATATGGAGAGGTGGAGTGGACATAGCCAGGTACATGTGGGGTCCAGCAGGTCCAGGTTTGAATCTAGCTGTAGGAGCTTTCAGCAAGTTGTTTAACCTCTTCGAGCTCTAGCTGCTCAAATGTGAAAACTGGGGGTTGCTGGGATTAACTGAGAGAAAGTAGGGGGCTGGTGACATTGGACCATCAATCACTGTCGGATGACTCTCTACTCACCTTGGTGACTTAGAGTAGCTTTAATTAGCAGAAGATGTTTAACCACAGAGTACAGATCTTTGAGCTGGTAGAAATCCCCAACCTCTGATCCAGCTCTACATCCACCCCCCTTTCACTCCTGGCTTCAGGGTTTACCACCTTTAACCAAAGAGGCTCAGAAGGTGAAATGACTTTTCCAAGGTCACATTATCTTTCGACAATAAAAAACAACAACAAAAACATTTTATTGTCTTCTTATATAAATAGATAAGAGCTCTGTGAAACTCGGCATAATATTTTTCATTTCAATGTCCAACTTTCTTCTACTTGTCTTCATTAAATTCAACTGGTACCATTATATGACAAAAAGAACCCCTATGAGCAGTGGGTACCACCTAAACGCAAAACGCTTGACAATATTTGCCTGTGACTGAACCTTATTCTCAACCCCTGAGCCAGCAGTTCTGAAAGTATCCAGGGGCCCCTGAGTCCACAAGGCTAAAATGATTTTCTTAATAATACCAACACTGTTGGCTTTTTAAACTCTTGTTCTCTCATGAGTGTACAGTAGAGTTTCCCAGAGGCTTCATACATGTAATATTGCAATAGATTGCATGCAGAAATGGATGAGAATCCAGCTGTCTTATATTAAGTGACATTAAGGAGATTTGCAAAAATGTAAAACAGTGCCACTTTTCTCATTAAATTTTTGTTTGTTTTAAAAAAATGTCTGTTTTTCATGAAACAATGCCATTTATATTAGCATGAATGGGTTTATTGTTATCTTTAAGTAAACTAATAAATATTTTTAACATTTCTCAGTTTTAACTTCA